TATTTCCAATTTTCCTACAGTGTTCTGTAATTAGATATTTAATTGAATTATGGATTCAGCGTTTTGTGTCAAGTACATTTTGGCAAAGATTAACAGTCAACCTCTGCTCAGATTCACAGCCCCTCACTCTGCATCAAGAATGATCTAATACTTGGATAGTAAAAGTGCAACATAAAATGTTGCTTCATTTTTAACAGGTTCCTTTCTATCTGAGCATTTGATCCCTCAAGTCCTAGCTCTGTTGGAAGTTTAAGGATGCCTTAAACATAGAATTATTTTCCTTTTAAAAGTTTTAACCCACTTTTCTGTATATTCCTAATGGAATATATTAGTTTTAGGCAAGCTGCTCTATTATAACTCTAAATAGAAATCAACAAAATTTAATCAAACTGCATAAAATCATGCACTTAATGGGAAAGCGAATGGCTTTCCTTGCTTTTAAGGTAGACAACTTTGAACATATTAGCATTTAAAATCACACTAAAAAGAGTAAAATGAAAATCTGAATTTATGATTACTGTTTACATTTAAATACAATTTATATATCTACCCCTCTTTAAAGGGAGTGTCTTCATCACAGACACCGTGTGATCTTGGAAGTTATGTGTTTTATATTCAAGATTCCCGTCTGTAATATTGGAATAATAATACTTATCTCACAAGGTTATTGTGCACTCTATAAATGCTGAATCTGAATTAAAAATCTACATACACATGAATTATAATATTTTATTTTAAAATCTCTTGAAAACATTTTTAAAAAATCATAAATCATGTTGTAAAGAAGCTAAAGGGGAAAAAAGAGAAAGAAGAGAAGGAGAAGATTGGCATTCCTAGCTGGCAATTTTTTTATAATTTATGGTACATACAAATGTTTGTTTTTAATATAGCCAAATATTTAATTCTTATGATTGTGGATTTATTAAAATTGTGTAAAGGTCATAAATACATAATGTACATTTATATTCTAATATTATGTCATATTATATATACCAATTGTCTATTTATTGCTCCTCAATCTAAATATGTTTTTCATTGCCTGCTGTAGAAAATGGAGCTGGTCCCTTTGAACAATTGTCCTTTGCTCTCCTGATATGAAGCTGCGTCAATACAGAACAATGCAGGATGTTGCTGGAGGAAGGGGCTTCTCCTCCTAGTTCTGGTGTGCCTCTCTGTTTCTCTCAGCAGGCTCTGGAAGACTGCACAGCTTCCCTGTAGCCCAGCTACTGGAGTTCAGGTGACTTCCTAAAACCAGTTCAAAACGAGAGTTTTTCTATACCAAGGAATTAAATTTATGATTAATGAAAAAGAGCATCTGAAAGTGTTAGACTCAAATACTTATGCAGAATGTTTGCATTTTGGATGCATTACTGGTTACATTCTTGTCAGCAGTGTGTAAAAGTTTCTGTGCTATACATCCTTGCAAACACTTGATAGTGTTTAAGACTTTAGTTACTAATGCAATAGATGTAAGTTAGTATACTATTATTTAAATTTGAATTTTCCAAATAATAGCAATGTCAAACATGTTTCATCCATTTTTTTTTAACCATTCTGCCTTCATCTGTGAATTTCTTGTGTGTATCCTTTGCACATTTATCAATTACATTGGTTGCCTATCTTTTCTTTAAAGGATCAAGTGGCATTTTAGGATTCCTAGGTCAACAGACAACGTCTTCAAGTCTTAACTTTTCTTGCCAAAAGGCTAACAGTCATTTTATGTATCATTCTTAGGTCGTGGAGTGGACGTAAACAGGCAGTGGGCTGAATTTGATTCACGGGATGTAGTGGATGCAAATAGGCAGTGAGCTGAATTTGACTCACAAGATGTAGATTGCCAATTCCTGATCAACGGGGTTGTTTGTATCCTATTGAATTTGAGGGTTTTAAAAATAATCTGGTTTCTAATCCTTTGTCAGATCTATATCTTGCAAATACCTTATATCATACTATCTCTCTTACTAAGATCTTAATATCCTCAGATTATCATCATGAATTACATTTTTATGATTTTGATAATTGTATATATTTTGAGGCTCTAGATTTACATTCATCAAAATTTTTTAAATGTTATAGATGCATTGTTTCTTTTATCATTGGAGTTGCTAATTTTATTCCAAATAGTCTCTTATGCCTAAAACAACATCAGCTATCATAAGTTTAAAATATGCCCAATACATTTTTTCACTTTCAGCTTTTCTCATACTGTTTCACAAGCATCTTTTCTAAAAGCTGAAAGGTGACACTTTAATCCTATCTGAAGATACCTTTTCTTAAATTGGAAATTTTAGTGTACTTACATTTATTGCAATTACTAGTGTATTTTTTTATTTCCTCACTTATAAAATGGGGACAATAAATTCTAACTCACATGTCTGTGAGAATTGTATGAATTAATATCTCAGACACTTAGAAAAATGCCTGGAAGATGTGTTTTACATTTTAAATATTACTTATTACTGTCTTTTTACCATCTTATTTTGTGCTGTCCATGTTTCTCACTTTTTCTATGTCTCTTAATCTTCCTTTTATAAAATCCTCAAGATTTATTAGTTTTATGCTATCTTTCTCTCTCTACTCATTTAGAAGTCATATATCCTACTTTTATTCTTTTGGTTAGCCTACCATTTTACCCTGAACTTTTAACAAAATATTAAAGTAATTCTCTTCTTAAACACTACAAAGGCCTTAGAACTTTTCAACTTCAATTAATCCTCTCTAGTTGTACATGACTTTATATTACTGTTTTATATGTACTTCCACTTTCTTTTAAAATTATTCACTAATATTATAATAACATTAACTATAACAAGATAATTAACATTATTTTATAGTGGTAAATAACTTAAATTGACACATAATCACCAATCCTTGAATAACTAATCCTTCTTGCATATCATATAGTTTGTATTTGTAAGTAGTATTTAACAGGGTATAAAAATTTAGGTTGACAATTATTTACTCTTGATATCTTGAAGACTTGACTTCACTATAGTCTGTATTGGAAAGTCTGCTATATTTCTAAAACTACCTTCTTCTTGATGATCTGCCTTTTTCTTTGATTAGTTTTAAGACTTTTTAACTTTGTATTAATCAATTTCAGTACTATGTGTCTAATCTTTATTATTATGTATTTAGCTTTAAGGGCAGCTTTATTTGTATGTGTTTTCTAAGTGCAGTCTTATTTTTGTGTATTTTTTGAGAAATTTTTTTTTGTTTCCCGAATGTGAGGATACATGTCTCCCAAAAGTTTCAGGGCATTTCAGATATTTATACTGAATATTTTATTCTCCTCCATTCTCTATATTGTCTTCCTCTATAACTCCTAAAAATACATATTGAACATTCACATCTACTTCTCATGTCTCTTAAAATTTATTTTTTCATCTTTTTGTTTCTCTGTTGCGTCCTGTGATTCTTACGTGCTTCCACTTCATAAATGATATCATCAACCATATCAACTACATTTTTTATTTCAATTACTGTATTTTTTCATTTCTGCAAGTTTAATTTATTTAAAAATCTACTCGGTATTTTGAAAGTGTCTATAGCTTTTCCACATATTTCCATTTCCTTTCCTTAATCATTTTAATATACTTTTCTTTTCACTCTACATTTGATCATTTCAGCATTTAAAATTCTTAAAAGTCTAATTCTGTTACTTTTTATTTGGGATTACTCTTACCTGATCTTTCCATAGATTTTTCTGAATTGTGGCATCATATTCTATAAGCCGTTATCTGTGTGCATAATATGTTGCCTAGGTTGCAGTTATGTGCTTCCAAATTCTTTTGTATATATACACGTGTGTGTGTATGTGTGTGCATGTGCGTGCATGCATGTGTATGCGTGCTTTTCAGAGAGCTGGGCATTCTAGGGACTTTACTCATCTTTAAAAAAATCACTCGTTGACTTGGAAGGGAAGCAAATAGTGAGACAGTGAGGCATTTTACTGTCCTGCAATCACACTATTGGTGAAAAACCTCCTTTTTCCCCACCAGTTAGGTCTCATTGACTGGAGATAGTGGGTTAAAAGTATTTCATATTTAGAACTACAATTTGTCAAGTGCTGCTGGTGCTAGTATTAGGTATCTCTTTTTATAAAACATATTGTTTACAAAAAGCCCCAATTGTCCATCCTGAGATTCAGTAATTTATAAATTAAAAAATAAAAGTAACACATGCAGAGAAAAACTTATTTTTATAGGACAACTGAATTTTTTAAAATGCTCAAATGCAGAACCAAGGATGTTTATGTTGATGCTAGTCTCAAAATACAAACCACACAATTTGACAAAATGCCCCCAAAAGGCAGTAGAATACACATGTATGTTTTGTTATTGAAATTTCAACTTTGAGAGGTTACTTTACATTAGTGCTTATCTCTTTAGTATGTAAACTTCACAAGAGCAAAGATTGCTGCCTTTTTCTTTTTTATCTCCAATTCATAGTACTTAGCATGGTATGAAGTATATTAGCGGGCATTAAGCAAATATTTCTTCAGTGAATAAATGGAATAAATGAATGAGTAAAATACATTGTTGTACTATGCGTTTTGGTTTGAAAATGGCAAAACTTATTCTGAGTGACCTTTTAGTCTCAGGGAATTCAAACACAACTAATACACATATAGTAAGTATAACAATTGAAAACTTTATGAAAAATTTTTCATAAAGAAATGTTTCATAAAGAAACATTGAAAAATTTATGATTCCCCAGGAAAATTTTCCAGTAATTTACTTTTAGTCTCAATTGTAGTTCCTTCAGGAATATCCACTAAATAATTTTTAGGGGAGGCTTACATATTGAAGGCTTACTATCTATAATCCTTTCACTTTGTACTTTCTGGGCAGTCTTTCTGTTTAAATATTCTTAATGTCATTCTTTAAAGTAATTCCTCTTACACCCCTATTACCACTGTGACATCACCACTGTTTTTAATGTTAGCTATCACTTTTTTTGTGGCACTAATTATAACATAAAAATATTACAAGGGAATATAGATGCACTTTTATATTTTGATGGAAATTTATTGTATTTAGCTAAATTTTTACAGTTGCTCTTCAAAAAAAACTAACAGAGCTTTCAAATGATAATGCAACTTTTTCTTTCTTAGATTCGTTGTATAATTAAATATTATGGCTAAAATAATCATCTTATAATATTATTCAATAGAAGAAGCACCATTGAATCTATTTTTAAATATGTAATTTGCAAAATAGACTGAAGCATTGAGCACATGTTTAAAATAGTGTCAATCAGTTTAGTAACCGTCATTGCTATTTGTTTTCAGATGCAAGTATGCTCTCAAAATTTGATAGTTGAGCAAAAATAAAATGTTATATAAGTAACTTTCCAGATATAAGGACAACACAGACAGACAAAATAAGGTCAGAGGGACTGGTGAAGCCATATATTCATATAGAAATATAACAACAGAAGCAATGTCAGTATTTACTCATATACCTCCAACCTGGCAATAAATAAAGATAAGTCCTGATGCTGGACCTTCTAAGTGCCTCAATCTGCGTAGAGTTTAATAAATCTCTTTTCAACTGCTTTTTATGCAGATACATTTCCACCTACAAGTTTTTTGAAGTTAGAAGTTGATATTCATGGTATTCATTTGCTGCTTAGAATATTGGATGAGAAGGAGGTTATATATAGTGAAGTGTGTTCACAGCCTTATAATTCCTTTGTTTTCATCCTGCCTGGGTACTTGCATTAGGGTGTCATAACTGGAACTAGAGTTACGAGGCCAGCTTGGTTTCAGGTTCAATATACTGGAGAGAGGGAAAGTTAGGCAGGTTGGAAACTAGACAGTGAAAATGTAGATGTCAGAAGAAAGTTTGGAGACGAATAATGCTATTTCACAAAATATCAGAGCCAGCATTCCCACTACTTGGTTCCTAATCTAATGACAAAGTTTCTCAGTTTTATAACAATAACATAAAACACCAACAGCTAAATATTCATTGGAAACCAATTACCATGCATTGAAGGATAAAAACTTTCAATTCATTCACCGGCCACCTTTTTTCTCTTTTTGATAAGTTCTTATTACACATTTGTTGTTGTAAAATAGAAAGCATTACTGCAACTCAAATTATATATCTTTAGGAGGCAGTTATATTTTCTGCTTTCTTCCTTCCATACCTGATTTAACAAGTGGCATCAAAAATTTTCCATAAGGCAAGTCTTATTCTTATTAGTAAATAATAGTTTCCAAATATTTGATAACTGTTTTAAGTAATTTATAATTTCACACAGGGTTATACTCCTTCTAAATCTACATAAATATATAATTTAATGTTTCTTTTAAAAAATAAATTTTAACCTTACAAAAATAAAATTAGTTATTTGATGCTTTTAGAGATTTTTCTACATGGCAGAACAAAATTTGATATTTGAAGCTTATCACCAAAAATACAGCAGTATTACAAACCAACTAGAAGAGGCTAAGATATTTTAAAACAAAGTTAAGCAGAATTTGAATCTCATACTGTGACATATTAAAATGAATCATAGATAGCAAAAATCCAGCCATATAGGAATGGGATACTTGAGGGTTTTGGAAACACAATTGCTTCTCATCCATTTCTTTTAAAAAGTTATTTTGTCCATTTATGTTAAGTCACCATCTCCTGAATAAACTACAGTTATATTCAAAATTGACTTTTAAAAATAATTTAATAAAATCAAGTGAGAACAGTGTTTTTTTCTATGTATAGTCAGAGAGGACAATATGGGAGTTAGGATTTTGGCAAATATAAAGCACAACCAATATACTGATGTAGGGTGGAAAATAATTTAAAAAATTAATTTAATAAAATGGAGCAGTAACTAACAATTATTAACAACACAACAATGAAGCTGTTTGTATTTTCATTTAACAACACATTTAAGGCAAATGTTGAATTAATATAAAAATAATATGCGGTAAACTGATATTTGACATGATACAATAAAAATTAATTTTCATGTTGAAGACCTAGTTATGACAACATCTCTGTGTGCCTTCTAAATACCTAATTTCTCAGTTGTGCACAGCATAGCTCACCGTGGCCTAATAAGATATCAATCAGAATATCCAGAATATTTCTTAATATAGACCAATACATTTCCCCTATCGCATCAGGCAAAATAATTTAATATATTTATTTTCACAAAAGGTTCATACTAACTCCAAACTGTAGTTTATTTTAAATTTCTAGTACTAATTCTGATTCTTAAAAATAGCTATCATTGATATTCTAAGTTTCATGCTGTTCTCAAAAAGAACAAAATGCCTATCTTGAGAGTTTTACTCTAATTCACCCCTAAAATTTACTTTATATGGGAAAGTTTCACCATAAAAAATCTACTATTTATGTAGGTCAAGATTGATTCTACTACCTTTGTAGAACAAGCAGAGACTCTTATATAAGATAAACTGGGTTTCAACATCTAACTTTACACTGTGACTCTGGGAAGGTTAAATAAATTCTTTGAGCCTCACTTTCTGAACTACAAAACGAGAATATGATGGCAGTCCTCAAAGTGCAGCATGGAATTTAAAAAGAGCTAGTGCACATTCCTAGCACAGGGGTAGGAGTAGTATAGAACAGTATAGGTGTTAATGTTAATGATTTTTTCTCCTCTTTCCCATTCCTGGCATATTTTGGCTAAGTGGAGATTAGTGAGAAAATATGGAAGAAGTTACTGGAATGAATCAGCTCTACTAACAGGCTCATCTACATTGCAGGCAATAGTTATACATTTTCAAAGTAACATTCAATAAGATCAAAGCGTTGGTTTTAAAAATGTATTTACATTTTACAATTCATATGCAAGAAATATTTTCAGGGCAACAATTTAAGAAAAAAACAGATAAGCTACATCTGTGTGTATAGTTTAATTTTGTAAAACTGAAAGAATATACCCAATTGTATTCAATGTTGTATGCTCATGGACAGGTAACAGAAACAAAGCTACCTCATACAGTAATCTATATTGACATCAAAATAGAGTTTCTCTAGAGGAAAGAGCCTTTCTTTAATGGGATTGATCATAATTAGAAGTTCCCATTATTTGTCCATGAAACCTAAGGAAGGTGCTATTTCAAATGGAATTCTAGTAGAACTTGGCACATACATTTTAACTTTTCAACCATCCATTATTTTTTTACCTCTTGTAGTGCCACTCACTCAGACAATCACACATCTACATTCATTAATTTTAAAAACACACATGCCTTTAAAGCAGAAAATTCATCCTCAAATTACATTTTCTACAAAAAAAAGCAGGACACCGTATTTATATCCAATGCTTCAGTCATGGAAATGCATTTTCTTCAGAGAGCTGTTAGTTAACATACACTCTTATGTTCAACATTTCAAAAGGTGTGTTTTAGGAGGATCTGTTTGATCATGTGCAAGAATTCTAAGGCATTATAAGTAGTTGTTCCACAGGACAAGGGTTGCCCTTGCAATGATATACTCTTGATATATTTGACAAGTCTTTAGTCTTCAAATGCCACCAGCCATAGGGAGACATTCGTAGTCTACAGGTGGGTTGGCTCAAAGGTCAAAAACTTGTTTAAAAAAAAGTTTATGGAATAGCACCATAAGAAGTCTTTCAGAAACAAACATTTTTTTCCAGCATTGCATTTTGAAAAAATGAATCCCAGGAAGAGAAAAATGAAAGAGATCTTTCAGTTCTCACAAGACCTACTTCTGCTTCATTTCATTTTTAAAAAATAGATTAACCATGACAACATCAACAATAATAGCTACAACAATAACAGATCGACAACAAAGGAAAGACAATAGCAGCAGCAGTAACTTGAGTAATGAACCATCCAGACAGTCATTCAGAAGAATCCTGCTCACACCTCTTCGGCGTTTTCTCATAAGGTTCATAAGACATCACAGGCTTCTTGGATTTGGTGTGAAAGGCAGCACTTCCAAAAAAAAGAACTAAGTTTACCATTTCACTGGACATTTTCCGAGACAAAGAACTGATGTCTAGAATTTAACTGCAATAATAGACGCCACTGACATTTCAAACTCATCAAAATGTAAGTACACTAAAGTGGTCTCAAGATCATTTGTGTTTCAGAGGTTAAGCTGGCCTGCAAGTGGAAATAATGAAGCTGAAATATCCCAGTTTCCAAACACCAGACACACACATACACATGGAAAGTACAAATCACCCTCAAAAGACTCCCATTTCACATCACCTTACATGGATCTAGTTTACACTGTATCCAAGATACAAAGTCAGCAATTATCCTAAGACAACCAGAATAGTGTTTCCCAGTTTATGACCTGCAAGATCATTTTATGTCCCCAAATCTTGACAAATTGTCAAAAAGAACTCTGCAGGGTCACAACTCGTGAATTAAACTGTCTGAATTGTGAGGCATCTATTTCAAGCTGTGAACAAAAGCTTGTAGAGTCTTCCTTGAAGTATGTGATGCCCTTTCACCAGCTTTATTAATACCATCAAGCATGGAGTTCAAATATCCTTGTAATGCTGATGAAGGTTTCGCTGGAAACTTCTCTTTTAGTACAAAGATAATTCTGGTCTTACAGGGATTTTTTTTTGTTTGTTTGTTCAAACTCTTTATATAAAACATTTGTGTTAATATCTTCAGTTTTTTTAAAAAAAAATATGTCTTCTCTCCATTATGCACATTCCTTTGTGTTCTGACAGAGATTTTGGTGTTATTTTTTGGTATGTGTGGTATCTGGATATCTTATGCTTTTGTATCTTATATGAAATCCCTTCTTGTTGATTGTGTCATCAGTGTGGAAATGAATTAAAACTGCATCTCCAATTGAATAAATCTCTTCTGGGGGCTGAAGGAAAACAAAAACAACAAGCAAGTAAACAAGCAATAAAATGAATCACTTTTTCTTCAGTGTAACGCATGTTTGGGAATACTTTTCTTTGGAATATAATTTATTCCTCCCAACAACCTTGGAGAGTAGGTGTAATCTACTTCTTCACTTTATAGAGGAGAAAATGGGATTCAGAGAAGAAAGTGACATGCTAGAGCTCACGTGGCTAGTCGGTGATGTAGCTGAGCTCTGAACATACATTAGATTTTCTAAGTTCTGGGCACTTTTCTCTCTAGGACTTGAGTGTTTTTTCCCTAAGCTTTTAAGCCAAGTTCTCTTGATTTGCAAATCAGTAAAGTGAGGTTTAGAGAGTGTAGAGATACTAAATGTGTTTCAGAAGCTGCTCTGAAGCAGAGTCACTTCCAGAATCCAAATCGTCCAGTATTTCTTGTTTTAATAATCTAAGCATCAAGAACCTTTTTCGTTACATTTCAGTTGTCATTTGGGCAGGAGTTCAACAGTATTACTGAAGCAATAGCTACTGGTAGACATTTGAAAAACTGGGACCAATATCTTCAGCACAAAATATGTATTCAGAAGACTATAAATATATAAATATTCATGCAGTGAGTCCTGGGGGAAAAACACAGAGAAAACCTTAGGTTTTTCTTTTCCTTATTTCTGATGGTGACCTCTTCTGACCTGTACCTGGCACTCTGCACCTGCACAAGTGACACTCTGCAATGGAACAGTATCTCTGTAGCATTGCCTGTGTACACACACCAGTGGCTGACCTTGCCACTGCCGCCAAACATATTTGTTAAGAAGAGAATGTGAATTAGAATGGTGTGCATATTCTTTTTTTCCTTTAAGCTTTAATTTAGAAACGTGACAGAATTGTCTATGGTGTGTGTTTAAATACGCTGCTGTTAGATTAAGTATTTAAATATTTATTGCATAATAAGAAATTAGAACATGGAGAAGTGATAAGAAATTATACTTACTGATTTCATCAGTTTCACCTGATATTCAGGCAAATTCATTAAAAGTGGAGAATTGATAAGGGAAGAGACATGTTATAATTTGTCAAGCCATTTATAATATGATGTAACCTTATTTATTTATTTTTTTTTGTAAAAGCATTACCAACTTGTGAATGGTACATATATCAATCATGAATCAATAGGCATCTTAATGGTGTCTAGGGTATCCTATTGGTGGTATATTTACCCCGGATCCACAGAATCGACCAAGCCCCACAGCTGTTGAATCGAGACCATCAAAGAGCTCCACATAGTCATAGCCACAGTCTGCTTCTTCTTCCACTTCAAACGTCTGGAAGGATAATTCAAGTCGAGAGCCCCGTTCTGATACTAACAGCCATTCACAGTCAACCTGCCCCGGGTAGTTGTTATCCCCAAACTGAGCATGTGAGTACAGATCTCTGGGTTTTGATTCTGCTTTCAATCGGCCGCCACACTCTGCCCAGGAAAGAAAAATAAAACGAGTAAAGTCAATGGGCTTTAACGGGTCCAATTTAAATTTCAGTGCAGTTTCAGTGTAGCCTAGCCATTGTCTAACTTCTGTTTCTACTTCCAGTATCACTTATGTTTTCCATAACTGAAGAGTCAGATAGTGTCATGAGTGCCCACCCAGGCCCCAGACATGGACGGCCTGGGTTGGAATCTCAGTCCCAATGCCTGCGGGCCCTGTGACTCTGGGTAAGGGATGTCTTTGAGCCATGTTTTTCTCAAGGATAAAATACAGATGAAAATAATGGTACCAATTTTAGTGAGGTTTCAGAATTGAAAACATGAAAATCACTTAGAATCTACCACTTAGTAACTCAATAATTTTAAAAATTGCAATACCTAATACCGTCTCTAGTCTCAAATAACTATTTTCATAAAGAAGACTCCAGAGTATTAACTCAAGTTTAATCGTAACAATTTAAGAAGCCCAAATGCAAAGAAGTGAGAAGTAACTTAAAATTCAACAATAGATATAAAACTCCTCAGCGTGTGTTTGTGTTATATAGAACTTTCTATATAGAATATATACAATAGTAGTATTTTACTTCAATAGAGATATTTATCTCACTTGATGGGGAAAAACCTACATATATCATTAATTATAATTATCTTTGCAATTCTCAAATCTATCCAACGATAGTCTGTGTTTATTACAAGAAAAAATAATAAATGCTCCTCACAGCTCCTTTAAAAAAAGATAAATTAATAAGCATGGGCTCTACCAGATATTATCGAGTGACCTTTGTCACTCAAGGTAAATACACCAACGAAATAAGCAAGTGTGCGTAAAGCATTTTAGTTAGTATAATTTAGAAAATAAAAGGTTTCAAACACTCTTCTCAGGAACAATTTGTAGTCAGAGCCCCAAAACTTTTCCTTTTTTTTGAGAAGAGCTCTCGCTCTATCATCCAGGCTGGAGTACAGTGGTGTGATCTTGGCTCACTGCAACTTCTGCCTCCCAGATTCAAGCAATTCTCCTGCCTCACCCTCCCAAGTAACTGGCACTACAGGCGCTCACTACCACATGTGGCTAATGTTTTGTAGTTTTAGTAGAGGCAGGGTTTCACTGTATTGGCCAGACTGGTCTTGAACTCCTGACCTCAAGTGATCCACCTGCCTTAGCCTCCCAAAGTGCTGGGATTACACACAAGAGCCACCGCACCTGGCCAGAGCCCTAAAACTTTTTCATTATTGGAGATTAAATAAAGGCGGAGAGCCTACAATGCCCCACCAACCTATCCAAGCAAGTATGGTGGTTAGGAGGGAGATAAAAGAATGAGCTATGAAAAGTGTCAGGAGAAAGTAGAGTTTCTTGCTGTCCCTGTTTGTCAAGGATTGAAAGAGTTTCTGGGAAGCAGGAGTTTCACTGCTAAAATAAGGAACATCCCAGAAGAAATCCAATGTGGTAAAATCTGGAGAAGCAAAACCACTGGACAGCCAAGTACAACTGTAACACTGTCGTGGTAGTCTGTGACCAGATATTCCTTCGTGAAGATGGTTAGGCAGCTGAAATTCTAAATTGGACTTTTCAGATTTGTATATAGTTTACCCATATTGTGGTTTGGTGATTTTTAGAAAACAAAATGTTTCTGAATTATGGGTGTTGAACCCCTTGTCTGAATTCATGTGTGCCCAAGCAAATCTATGGGCGTTGTCGTAAACAACAGCAAATTCAGAGACCTTTATGTGACTAACACATGAAGGAACTTCCAGCTAGGGTTCCAGTTACAAGAATGACTTCCCCATTAGGCTGTGTTACACGGTGAATGCAAATGTCCCTCTGTCTTCTAAATGGTAGATGAGTATCTCACACAACCTACTGACAGAGGTGCCACTATTACAAATGTATTTATGTGAGGAAATATTCCTGAAAGCTGGAATACAAATTACCCTTGGGATTTTATGTCCCAAGTCCCACAAACTGGAAGCCAAGCATCCTCCCGTTCCCAGTATGGAGCTTTTCTTATCTCAGTAACTCCAAGAATTATTTGCCCCTTCGTGGGATGAAACTCCCAGTCAGATTGCCTGGCTGCAAATCTGGCTCCGTTCTTTACCAGCTGGGAGACTTTTTTCCACAGTTTCATTTCTAAAAAGGGAATCATACATAGTATTCACATCATAGGGTCCAGATGAAGAGTGCATAGGTTCATATATGAAAAATGCTTGAAAGGTGCCTGGCATAGTAAAACCTATATAAACTTAAGCTACCATTATTATTGTTATTATTTTCCTATGAGCATATGTAAATGCCATCATCTGTACTCTAGGATCCACTCAGGTATGAAATGAAAAACCCAGAAAAATGAAAAACAATATAAAGCACTATTAATCTTCTATTAGGAAGGAAAAATTCTACTTTTGAAGGCCAGTAAAATATTTTGTGAAAAATATTTCTGAATTCAACATACAAATATGTAAATCAGTGTAATCTCATTTACAGATTTTTAAAAATTCTACCTCTTCTCCAAGTTTGAGTATTGACTGATATATTTTGTTTTCAGCTTTTTAAACTAGCTTCAGCACTTGCATTACTTTTATTCCACAGCCCAGGAAGAGCAGCAGGGGAGGACCTGGAGAGCTGGTGCAGGCAGCCTTTTGTGTGCCTGCCTCATGGATATAAGGCAGCATTACAAGGACCAGGATCCAGAAGAAGCAACACTCTGCCAGCCACAACTTGAAACAAAAATCAAGGAAGAATTAAAGAAATTAAACAGAAGAGGAAAAACGACTTCATAGAGGCTTTATGAATCTGAAAATCACAGGAAGGTGTCTTTATGGGACTTTATTAAAAACTTCTAGAAAAACGACCTACATTTAAAAACAAATGCCCTAAACTGCATTTAAGGACAACAAGAAGTTCCGCGCCCCCCGTTTTTGCGTCCGTTTTCTTTTCTCTGTTGCAGCGCACACCCTCATTTCTGTGGATCACTGCTCAAACGAGTAAACCTGGACTTAATTTCTAACCGTGACACACACACACAAACACACACACACCCTATGACAGAATTCAGTCCACAGGAATTAATGTTCTAACCATCATTCACTCACACACACACACACCCCATGACATAATTTAGTCCACAGGATGAATTTGTAAAGAATGAAATGAACATTTGAATGCTATATGCAAAAGAGGTGTGATTTTATTAAACTGTAATTACTGTTGCACCAACCTATAATATGTCCTGAGAAAATTCCAGAATACAATAGGCAGCCTGAGGGCAATTGCTTCTGGGTGTTTTCCAGAATCCTCCTGGCCATTCAAGCAATGGTCAATAGGTCCTTTATTGTAATAGGTCACTTTAAAAGATGACTTTTAAATATGGTGAACACATTTTCATCAAAACTACCTATTCATTTACCAAGTCAGAAAAACATAAAACCAGTTATTTACCATGTTGGCAATAGCATTTTCATACCATCTAAAGAACAACTGCCAAAGCGGTTCTTACAGAATTCTGAGAAATGGAAAATGAAGCTGAATAAGAAAGGTAACAAGGAGGGAAGAGAAGCCTATGGTGAACTTCATTTTAATTTGGAAAGACAAGTTTGTTTATTTCCTGGTAAAGTATTAAACTCCAGGAGAAATCTTGTAATTTGACCTATAAATGCTTTTAGTGAGCAAACCAGTTTAATTGATTTAGATCAAAATAATTTCCTTTCCAAAGAGTTTAATAATATATTACTTTATTTTTAAATGTCATTGACACAAAATATGATGTTTTATATTACAGAAAAGAAGTCCCAAGAGACAATACTTTGATTTTAAAAATTATTTTCTCTCCATGTTTCTCCCGTTTTTCTGTTTTGTAGCCATATCCTCTTAGAACTAAGACACAGGAATTTTTTTATTTTTTATTTTTACTAAAGATTTGCTCCCTTTAATTAAGTTGTTTAAGGCTGGAGGAATATCATTTGTTACCTATTACAATAAATTTGGAATTCGAATTTGAGCAAACTGTCAGAGGAAAAGAAAAAAGAACTCTTTTCAATTAAGTCCATTTTCCATGGACTTGTTTTTTTAGCTTCTAAAGAAAAGCAGCCATAATTACATATTACATTTCTAGTCACCTAGTTTTAAAATTCATAGTGTTAGAAATTTCTCTTGTGCATAAAATTAAAATTGTATACAAAAATATAAATTTATCTAAGCAAATGAAACTATATACTGAAAGGATCCATCAAAAATAGCTAACCATATTCTAGAAGACAGTAAATAATGAATAAATGCGTTATACATGTAGCAAAGGCTGACAGATATGGTACTGGACTTGGCTGTCTTGTCAGCAGAAATTGAAAGATAAACTGAAAATCATAAGTTTAACTTATCAGACTGTAAGCTGTCAGTAGACAGGAATTCCTTCTATTGTCTTAAAAATTCCCACACATTTACATTGTCCAAAGCAGATGCAAAATAAATATTTGGTGAAAGAGTAGAATAAATGAACCTGTTAAAGAGACTTTGAGGAGAAACAAAAGCAGACTTAAATAAGAGTATTTCAACATGTATGATTACTAGAAAGTAATAGAAAAAAAGAGGTCTACCAGAAAAATTCCAACCTAGCTGAAAAAACAAACAAGTGATATCAAAAATTCTCAGAATAATAAAGGAACAGGAGTCGGGGAGTTGGGAATTTGGGACTCTAATTTCAACTATTACTAACTTCTTGTGCTATTTCAGTTACCATTAAATTTTTTAGCCTTAAATTTCTCATTTCTGAAATGACAGGGCAGGCTTAAAGAATATCCATGGCCTGTTTTGCCTAACAAATTGTGATTGGGGTTCCTCACATGGTATCTGAATTGTTGTGAATGAAACAGGGAAATAAAATGAGCCTAGTCACTTACATACTTTGAAGAGATTTGCTTAATATTTCTATAAAGAAGCATTCAATCTTCACCTTATAAGAATGATACTTTTATATTCATTTTCTTCCTAATCCAAAAGTTTTACATGAGAAAATATTACTATAGTAGGAAGTACATTATCTTTGGAGACAATCAGAATTAGAATAAAACCCAAGCTTTGACACTATTTTAGAAACTGCAAATTAATTGTCCAGATTTTCACTGGCTTCATCTGCAAAATGAGGATGATAGTATCTATGTCATACAGTTCTTTTGAGGATGCAATCTATCTAAAGTATGTGTGTAAGACTAAAATGCCCAGTGCATTCTCTACCATTGGATCATAATACATGACCTCTATTAAGATAAAATTAGATCCTCTTAGGGAATGTTCATCATAATACAAACACTGCAAATGGCATGCATGGGAAGAAGTCATGCAAATTAGGGAGGTATGGAGTTTTACTGCTGTAAGTAACCTTGGGATTATTATTTTACAGATGAGAAAACTGAGATCCAAAGAAATGATCTTTTCAAAAGTTTCCTGCTAGCTAAGGGTTCACTTGTAGCAGGAACCCAGATGTACTGACACACTGGGACATAATAGAACCTCAGTTATCCTGCTTACAAGGGGTAAAAAGAGACAGCATAAAAGTAAGTTTTTATAAAAATAAATAAGAAAAAAATAGACAATCTTAAAATACTATATCATCAATTATTTAAACAGTTTTGACAGCACATTTTCACACTACATTTTTGGAACCTATGATGACGATATTTTCCAGAATATGATGAACTTTGTGCTATCAGTGAAACATTGATTAAGTAATAGGATTTTATCTTTCCACCCCTTCATTAGGTGACAAATTATAAGAAAAATATTGAAAGAGTAAATGCCCAATGTGTGGAAAATCTCTCATTAGCATGACATTTCTCTGGTCTATGTAAGATTTTCCTCGTGTGTAATATTTATATTAATTATAAGAAGTAATTAATTTGTATTATTGATAGAAGACAAATGATTACTATTATTAATCAGATTACTATTCTGACAATATCTTTATCACGGACTTCAGTATAAATCGAATGTTCATAATAAAATGAGTGGAAAATAATGTTGGATAATGGAATAGCTAAAATTATGAATTACAAAACAAAGTGAAAGAATAAAAACAATCAGCAGAAATTCATGACAAAATTTCACTAAAATTATTTCATAGATGAATTTGTACATTTTTATACTGTGTTTTCCAAGACAAATTTCTCCCATGTATCAATCATTTATGCATCAGCAATGCCACTAGGTGTCAGTACAAGCTAAATGACCAGCTAATATCTACATTTAACTCATATATTGTCTTAACTGAATGAAAAGTGGACATTCTCTAGGTATTTTATGGAACATATAACGAAACTGTCTCCAAACTATAAATAACGTTACTCTACATTTTTGTCTAAAATTTTTCATATTTTTTCTAAATTAAATTCTATTTATTTAAGATTCCCAGAACAGTTAGTTGAAATGTGTAAGAGTATATTAGAGCGTAGGATTAGGCAAAAGATCATGTTGCATACCAAATAAACAAAGGAAAAATAGAGGCTCTGTCAAACAGATCAGTCTTAAACTTATTTATAAAAATATATTAATGTAAAATCTAGCTGATCAGATAGGTTATTAGATAAAACATACATTTTTAATATCAAGCCATAGATTTCCATCTGTTAAATATAACATAAAAATCAAACTGCTAATGTTAATATGAAATACATTATATGAATATTTCGGTACAGTTCTACTTAAACTGCACTGACCACAAATCAGGCAAAAGCTATTGGGTCTTCCTAAATGCTCAAGAACTGCGAAGATCTTTAGGTAGGATGCTGTGTGGTTCTGCAAATATTTCACAAAGTGCTTCAATGAAATTTCATCTGCTATGCTTGGAGATTTATTTACAATCCTATTATTGAACCAAATTCACCAGAAGAGAAACCTGGATCTTAGTCCAAAAAAGAGAAACACGACTCGAATTTGCTGACCTGTAGAATGTGTGGCTTGAAAGCCTTTTCTTTGAACAGATGCATCAGAAACAAACCGAACAAACATTTTATTTCCAGTAGCCACAAGGGGATCTGGTATCTTGTTGCCACATAGTCGTCCAAGAATTGGTGACTTTTCTGTTTCTCCATCAAATACTTCTAAGTGGTCATAAGCACATTCTTGATGCTGCTCAATCTCAAATTCACTAAATGCCTTTTTTAAAAAGAAGAAATAAAATGTTTTTAAAAAACCAAATCACTCAAAATGGGATAATTTTCGGGACAGAAATACATATTAATAAAATATGTTCAGGGCATACTCATAATTTAATACATTTAGAGTATTATTGAAAAAGATGTGAAATCAATAAAATATGTAATATCTGAAAAGACACAATGAGAAAAACAATGTAATAACTTCATAAGAAATTCCACTATTTGGCTATTAAAATTCTACTATTTGGCTATTTGGCTACTATTGCAATTCAATCTCAGAATTTAAACAGATTATTAAAAAATGGTATTTTATTCTGAATTTAATCCAAAGGATTCATCAGAAAATTTCAAGCAATCATATTAAAAGATTGGTTCCTTCTGGGTTTGATAATCATAGAACCCATTGGCCATTATCCTACCCTTGGGCACTTAAACTAAACTCAACAAAGTATTATCATACTTTTATAAAACTTAAATGCAACAAATCTTCATAGTATAAATGAAAGGAGAATAACTTTCATTATATATTTCTTTATTTAGCTCCTACAAACGCTGTCATTAGCAAACATTGATAATACTAAATGCTAGAATATTTTTAATTTACTTTTCATGTAGATGGTATACTTATTTTAATATTGGACATCTTGGAGAGTTTGAATGCTTGGCTCTTATTTATGACATCTAAAAACTATTCTAATTTACCTGTGTCATAATTTTCATCTGTGTGACTTAGCAAATTTAAAATAAAAAAATAATTAAATGTATAGCACACTGTAGATCACAAAGCAAAGTTTAATTGAGATGGACTGAAAATAACATTGTCCAAACTATTAATAGTTACATAAATTACAGGATATTTTCCATTTCCAAAGGCTCTTTTCTTTCCCCAGAAAAACGATCATACATTGAAGAAATAAAGCTGTGATTCCTACTTAAGTCTATAGAATAAAACTAAAATAATATAAAGAAAATAAACATGAAAAAGTATGAAATACATTTCAAACTTTCTTAAAATGCTATAATCCCCACAACAAAATATTGGCACATAAACTTTTAATAAACTTATTTTATTTGATACAGTTTTGCTGAAGTGATCATAATATTCAGTCTATTTGAAGACATATCCAAAAAAAAAAGACTAAAAATTTCTCTGTCTCAGTGTGAACCCACTATCTATTCCATACCACACTACATCACCCACTATCACTTCTGACTTCAGAGGAGTGAGGAAAGAAATGAAAGAAACAATTCACGTTAACTAGGGAGTAGAAGAAAGAAATGGAGTTACTTAACAGAAGAAAGAAAAGGGGGAAAAAAGCTGATCTCTCTTTTGTCTCTTTCCACTGCACTCTACTTAAAAAGTAGAAATAAAACATATAATAACCAACAAGCATTAGAGTAATTGTTTATTATAATCATGATGGATGAAAAGGAATGCTTACTTCATTTGAAGAAAGACACTGGCTAGTACAAAAAGACTGAACATACCACAAAGAATCTCACTGGAAGGAGAAGACAGAGTAGGGAAATACAGTGAACAAGGAGACGTCAGTAGAGTCCATCTATCCTGAAGCACAACACGCAAAGCAGGCGATAACTGAAGGAATGTGTCATTTGTCACTCTCTGTAACCCAGTAGAGTACACACATTGCGTGGGATGCAGAAGATTTTGAATAAGTATGTGGATGTCTGCGTAAATCTGTCAATGTATTTACCCAAAAACCTAGCTGACGTTTATGGCCAACCTCAAGTATGAAAATTCTACAGACAGGGCCTACTAAATCTCATTTTCTGCCTCTCATGAAATAGCAGTCTGCTCCTATTACCATTGCGTACATATATACATTCCTAACATCGGTTTGTAATTGATAGGAAACCACTATGAGAAAATTGGCTTAACCGCACCTAGAGTTCTTTATTAAATATGAAACTAAGCTTCTGAATTATAAATGTAATGTAATTTCAAGAGGAAAAACATTGGTTCAGGAAAAGAATATCTAAAAACCACTGCATGTTGAGCAAATATCTCTTTCGATTGTGATTTAAAGTCATTTATCTGTAAATACACAGATCAAATAACCAGGGAAACCTGCTGTGTAGAAGAGAGTATTTTAAGAAAGTTGGAGGTCGTGGCATTCTAAAGTATTTGCTATAAGTAGTGGCTAAAGCTGGGATCAGAATTTACAGACCACACATGTTCAGTCCATTGATTGGTCCATTGAAGACTGAATGAGTGAGATAAATAGGTGATATTTTTCTTCCTAATGAAATGCAGGATGTCTAGCCTAAATCATAACATCTGTTTAACAGAACAGAGCAACACCACACAAAGTGGCATTGAGCTGGTGGGCTGGGGGCCATAGTGACAGCTGGTCTGGTGCCAACTGGCTACAGCTCTTTATCAAATTACTAATGGAATCAGACTGAGTCTCTAAGAGTCATATTAGTCAAAGGTTCCATAGTGACATATACTCTAGTGATGCAAACACCTCTCATTCATTAACGTATTAATGAATTTTCTTTTTGGAATAGGTAGCAACTTGTTAGGTCAAATGCCAAGGCTGGGTGGTCCTTTTCCAGAAATCAGTCTGAACTGAAATCTCCACCACACACAAGCAAAGGTGTGACTAATTCACAGGCTGAGATCTCGGAAGCCTGCTCCTTGTATAGCAGAGATACCCACACAGAGAACCTTCCACACACAGTGACTTTACATCAACAGAAAATATTTCCAGCCCACAGAAATGTATTATAGGGACTCTTTGGAGAGGAAAAACTTCTAAAATATTTTTCAGAGTTCATAATGATAAGGCGTGATATGTCATGTATCACTTTATTCTACAACAGAAGCCGAACCATGAATCTCAATATCTAAATAATAAAGAATGTGCACATTTCCAGCCACCAGGAACCAATGCTGCAGAAATGTCCCCAGAAGACACTACTTAGGTTCCCGAAAAGCCCTGTAAGTTCACAATGGAGACAGGATAGCTGGCAAGGCTGAATGTATAAAGCTGTAAGGAACTCAGATTTCCACTCTAACACCACCTTCCTTTGGTAGACTTAAATATTTTTCTTAAGTGTTTAAACTTTATAAGTATTTGGGTATTTAAAAACTTTAAAGCATACTCATTCCACGATTATATTTCTATAATTTTAGGGTTACTAATCTAGGTTTTAGAAAGGCCAAAAAAAAAAAAGTGACTAACCATGGGCCCTAGTCAGAAATCCTAATGCATTTCCCACAAGACAAGCAAGCTAAGAGATTAAGGAGTCCAATTCAAAAGAAATAAAATTGAACCCTCGATATAGGCTGTGGAAATCATAACTTTATTTCTGGAACACCCAAGCAAGACTAATTACCTGGCTGGCCCCTGGCCAGGCTTCCAGACGCTGTTCACTCATATGAACATCTGTAGAGGTTCTTTTATTGAAAATACAGGCGATGGCTAAAGAATGAGGCCTTACAGAGTAACTGCATATATTCACAAAGGACGAGATAATAACATGATAGCACTTAATGCAGAAATAAAATTTAGCAAGGGTGAACATTTAAACTAAAAGAATTAAAGAGACTGTTGCAATTTGAGCAACTGTAAGATAAGCTTTAGAGGTCCCAGTCCCAGCCATCTTTCACCTTTTCCTGTTTTTGGTAAAAACTGGCATTTGGTTTCCCACAAAATATGTGAAGGATTAGAGGCCACTGGAAAAACATGGCATCATAGAGTACAAACCTCAGTCTCCTGATTCAAAAGAACCTTTCTTCTCCATGAGTGCTCTATAACTGTGATCAAATATATTTTTATGGATTTATGACGGATAATTATTTAACAGTTGTAGATGTTTGTGTTTTTTAAATATCCCATATATAAAGCTATAATTTGTAACTGTATGTTATTTAGCAAAACTCAAGGATATGATAAATCAAGTAAAAATGATATAAGCACATTAGCTTGTTGCAATATGCTCGGATGCCTAGAACTTCGTTTGTTAGTATTTTGTTTTGAATGAACATTAATTCAAAATATAAAAAGGTACTCCCAAATTTAATGATCAGTTGAGTCTTTCAGAACCAAGACAGGATAAAAACAGGGATAAAAGATACTTGTGACTGCAATTTCTTTGTACTTTAAAGCTATAATCATGCAGTCAGTACCTCATGATTAAATAAACACACACATGCATAATAAAAACAAAGCAAATGTGTCTTTTGTGTGTCTCTGCTGTAGCAGATTGCCAAACTCAATGCCTTAAAACAACACAAATTTATTCTTCTACAGCTGTGGAGGTCAGTAGTCTAAATTGGGAAGGCAAGGCTATGTGTTTCTAGTTCAATTCTCCTCCCCTCGAATCCTGGCAGCCTTAGTGATTTGCTTTACCAACAGAATGTTCCAAAGTAATGTTCAAGGGCTTCTGAGGCTTCCACGGCCTCTTGGGATACTTTGGGGATCCAGGACTGACAGAAAAGAGTCTGGTTCCTTTGAGACCGCCATGTTGCAATGGTCACGTGTGAGTGCTATGGTTGTCCCGGCTGAGTCAGGCTTTTAGCCCTCCACATCAAGATGACAGACATACAATTGCAACCACCTCGACCCTTCAGATATGCTCCCAGGTGAATCAATCAATGTCACATGCAACAGAAAAATTACCAGCAAAGTACTACTTAAATACTGATGCCACTCCCTCAAACTATGAGATATAACAGTACTTAAAGCCATGAGGTTTTGGGCTATTTTGCTATGCAGCAGTAGATAACTAGATCAGTGTATACAAGGTAATAACTGCATTATAATGCCTAAGTCTCGATATAAATCTACAGTAAACTGACTCTGATAGTTCAGTTCTCATGTTAATGTACAATAATATATACTAGATTTAGATAATCATACTGTGAACTGAATATACATATGGTGAATGAACACCATGCACACTAATGCTCCTATCTCACAAAAGGCACATAGGAATTTTATTGTAATTCCTATTATCTATAACTGCTAG